GGCTTGAGCTGAAGAGCTGAGGGACAGTGCCCAGGCCCGCCTTGAGCTGAAGAGCTGAGGGACAGTGCCCAGGCCCAGAGTTCAAGCCCCACGACCGACCAAAAAAATAAATACATAAATAAAATAAAATAAAATAAAAAAACAGAGTTCAAGCCCCACAACCACCAACAACAAAAAAGTTTTGTTTCATTGTTCTTCTCACCTGCCAGAAAATGAAATGTTCCCGGATAATATTCTTCACAGCTTCATTGCTCCATACATCACGATTGAGGCACTGGCATGCAAAGTCTTGCACATTTTGAATGTTTATCATCAGCCATTTATTCTGCATTTGGCCACACTCTTTGGCCTGTCAAGAGTGAAGTCATACAACATTTGTTAAATACAGTTTCTGTCTTGGCAGTGTGGTTTGAGCCTGTAATCCAAGCTACCTCATAGTAGAGATTAGGGGATTGAGGTCGGAGGCCAGCTCAAGCATAAAAGTATCGAAGATTCAATGGTTGGGCCCAGTGGTGTGTGTGTTATCCCAGATACAGGGAAATGGGAAACACAATGGCTGAGCAAAGTGGTACAACCTGTCACCCCCACTGACACGAGGAATGAAGCGTAGGTCAGCCTGAGCATAATGTAAGATCCTCCTTTGCCTATAACCAATCAATAAATAAGGGCCAGAGTCATGGCTTAAGTTAGGAGAATTGGTGCTCAGTCTATAGTTTCTGAAATCTTGTGTTTTTAAATCATATTTATTAACATTCATGCTAGGAATGAGAGCATCAAACTCATTCATTCAACAAATATTTACTAAATAACTACTATACTGCAGAAACTATTACAAATGTTTGAATTATGAAGTTAATGAAAAACGAAATCTATGCTTTCATGAAGTATACAATGGTGAGAAACCTGCAGAGGCAGACTACATTAAAAGTGATATAGCAGACAAACACTAAAATCCAGGTGAGAGAGCAAAAAAAAAAAGGGTGACATTGTTTAAGAATTGTAACCATTCTGCACAACATCCTAATAATAATAAAATTATATATTTTTATTTATTTTTTTTTGTCAGTCGTGGGGCTTGAACTCTGGGCTTAGGCGCTGTCCCTGCACTCTTTAACTCAAGGTGAGCACTCTACCACTTGAGCCACAGTGCCACTTCTGGTTTTCTAGTGGTTTATTGGAGATAAGAGTGTCACAGACTTTCATGCCCGGGCTGGCTTTGAACCGTGATCCTCAGATCTCAGCCTCCTGAGAAGCTAGGATAATAGGCGTGAGCCACCAGTGCCCGGCATATGACTATATTTTTAAAAATCCAGGTGACATACATACAGAGATGAGCCCAGTGTGTGAAATGGACCAAAAACAACTCAGGTGACATACATACAGAGATGAGCCCAGTGTGTGAAATGGACCAAAAACAACTGAATGGGCAAGATAGAGTGCAGATGTGAAAATTGAGCTCTCAAGATGGTCCCACACATGTGAACCTCAAGCCATGGTCCAAAAAAAGAGAAAGCCAATCAGTAGGGTTGGTGAAAACAAGAGATACCTAATCTGGGAAATTCCCACTAAACCCTGTAGAAGCCTGTACCCAACCCCATACTGGAATAGTAGCAGAAGCAAAAGCAGTACTTTTCTCCTATGCCTCACTGCTCACTGTCTCTCTTGTACAGATATCCAAATAAACCTTATTTTACCCTATTCTTCTGATCAGCAAAACACACACACGCACACACACACACACACACACACACACACAAATCTATAATGAAACCTTTCTTGAAAATGTTACTATTTACACTGACAAATTACTGTCAGAAAAAAGCATCCAATGATGACATGACTTTCAAAGCAACAATATTTAAAGGGGAAGAAGAGTCTTGAATAAGTATAGAATTGAATGTACAGTATAAGGATTATAGTTAATATTCTTATGACTGGTAATGCAGCTCAGTGGTAGAGTATATACCTTATATGTCAAGACCTATGGTTCAATTGACAGCACACAAACAACAACTATACATCATACTGAAAATTTGCTGAGAGTAGATTTTAGATGTTCTTAACCACAGGGAGAAAAGGGAGGAAAGTGAGGGGTTAATATGTGGGGGGGGGGAGTTTGCTAGTTAATTGGAGATGGACTTTTCTGTCTTGCTGGCTTTGAACCTCAATCCTCTGATTTTAGCCTCCTAAATAGCTAGAATTACAGTCTTGAGCAACCATCAATACTTAGCACAGCCCATGTCTTCTTTCTTAAGTGCAGTTCCTCTATATGAGATTAAAAACATTGTATATTTATCTTACTGATTCTGGCTTATTTTGTTCAACACCATAATCTCAGTTCTGTCCATTTTCCTGCAAACAACATATTCTGTCTGTTTGAAAAATATTCCATTGTGTGTAAGTATCATTTTCTTTATGAATCACTGATTAGCATCTAGGCTGATTAGTTTGACTTTATAAATAATGTCACAACAAACATGGGTGTATAAGGATCTCTACAGCTTGGGCTGGGAAGGTGGCTCAGTGGTAGAGTGCTTGCCTTGCATGCATGAGGCCCTGGATTCGATTCCTCAGCACCCCATAAGCAAAAAGAAAAAAAGAAAAAAGCTGGAAGTGGTGCTGTGGCTCAAGTGGTAGAACACTAGCCTTGAGCTGAAGAACTGAGGGACAGCACCTAGGCCCAGAGTTCAGGCCCCATGACCAGACCCAAGGGAAAAAAAAAAAAAGGATCTCTATTGCAAACTGGTTCTTTTAAGCATATTGGAGTCATATAGCTAGATGATGGGTACTTCTAGTTTTTATTGTTTTTGTTAATTTTTTGGTGGGTTTTGTTGTTGTTGTTTTTGGCCAGTCCTGGGAGCTTAAACGCAGGGCCTGGGAGCTAGCCCTGAGCTTTCATGCTTAAGGCTAGTGCTCTACCACTTAAGCAACAGCTCTATTTCTTGCTTTTGGCTGTTAATTGGAGATTAAAAGTCTCACAGGCTGCCCTGCCCAGGTTGGCTTCAAACTTAAATCCTCAGATCTTTGTCTCCTTAGTAGCTAGGATTACAGATGTTAGTCACCAGCACCCAGGCTAGTTTTAGTTTTCTGAGGAACCTCTGCAGTGACTATACTAATTTATATTCTCACCATCACCATATACCATTGCCCCAATACATTATCACTAACTTTTTTTTTTTTTTTCTTGCCGGTTGTTGGGCCTGAACTCTGGGCCTGAACTCTGTCCCTCAGCTCTTCAGCTCAAGGCTAGCGCTCCACCACTTGAGCCACAGTGCCACTTCCGGTTTTTTTTCTGCTTATGTGGTGCTGAGGAATCAAAACCAGGGCCTCATGAATGCAAGGCAAACGCTCTACCACTGAGCCACCTTCCCAGCCCCACTATCACTAACTTTTGAACTCAGATCCAGGGCACTGTCCCTGAGCCTCTTTGTGCTCAAGGCTAGTGCTCTACCACTTAAGCCACAGCACCACTTCTGGCTTTTTCCAAGTGGTTTATTGGAGATAAGAGTCTCATGGACTTTTCTGTCCAGGCTGGCTTCGAACTGTGATCCTCAGATCTCAGCATCCTGAGTAGCTAGGATTACAGGCGTGAGCCACCAGTGCCTGGCTTGTTCTCTTAACGTTTCTAGTATGATAAGGAAATCTCAAAGCAGTTTTCTTTCATCTTCTGTCAATACTCACATTTGACCTCAAGGCCCTGCTAGGCAGGGTCTCTACCACTGAGTCATACCCTCAGTCCTCAATGTAATTTTGATTTACATTTCCCTAAAGGCTAAGAATATTAAATTTTTTTAATGTATTTACTGGCCATTTGTACCTTTTTTGAAAATTGTCTATTCAGTTCATTTATCCATTTACTGACTGGATTTGTGCTTTGGTGTCTAATTTTTTGAGTTCTTCATATATTCCAAAATTCTTAATTCTCTATCAGATGATTAGCTGAAGAAGATTATTCTTACTGTCTATAGATTGAGTCTTCACTATTGTTTTTCCTTTGTTGTTCAGAAGCCTTTTAATTTGATTTAATATCAATTGACAATCCTTGCTGTTATTTCCTAAACTACTGAAATCCTGTTGAGAAAGTCATTACCTATGACTTTAATCATTTTTTTTTTTTTGCTGGTTCTGGGGCTTGAACTCAGGGTTTGGGTGTTGTCCTGAGCTTTTTTGCTCAAGGCTAGCCCTCAAACCACTTGAGCCACAGCTCCACTTCTGGATTTTGATTTTTGTTTTGGTAGGAGGAAGCTGTGCTTAATTAGAGGAAAGAGTCTCAGAACCTTTCCTACCCAGAGAGCTCTGACTGTGATCTTCAGATCTCAAGCCTCCTGAGTAGAATTACAGGTGTGAGCCACAAACACCCAGCTTAAATTGACTTTTATACAGAATAATAGAGAGAGATCTAGTTTTGGTTTTGTACAGCTGGATACCCAATTTCCCTAGTACCGTTGTCAAAGGGACAATCTTATCTCCATAGTATGTTTTTGCACCTTTGCTGAGCATCCAATAGATACATAGGTTTATTTCTAGGACTTCTATCACATTCCATTGGTCTGTATGCCTGGTTTTGTGCCCTAATAAGAATAAGATCCAGATTTCAAACAGTAGTACTTTAAATAATAATAATAATAACAGGGCTGGGAAGGTGGCTCAGTGGTAGAGTGCTTGCCTCGCATGCATGAAGCCCTGGGTTCGATTGCACAACACCGCATAAGCAGAAAAGGCTGGAAATGGTGCTGTGGCTCAAGTGGTAGGTAGAGTGCTAGCCTTGAGCTGAAGAGCTGAGGGACAGCGCCCAGGCTCAGAGTTCAGGCCCCATAACCAACCAAAAATAAAAAATAAATCAAACTCCAAACCCAAAACACATCAGAATTCAATTTCACTTAATGGAGCTGAGCTGGAGATGTAGATGTATATGTATGTGTATGTGTATTTTCTCTGGTCTCCATCGTAACAGAAAGATACTATATTACTTAAAATTCAACTGATTCTATGGAAATGTTATTCCTATTCAAAAGAGTATTTAATATGTTAGCTACCACATAAAAGCAAGCTATGTGAACAGTTCAACATTATAGAATCTAAAATACTAAGCCCATTTATTTTATAATTTTGTGTGCCTATTAATAGATTCCCTATCATAGATTTAATGTTACCATTGAAACCCAACATCTAACTTTTTTTTAATTGCGAACTTTCACCATTTTATTTAAATGAATCATTTTATGGCCTCACTACTTTTATCACATTATAATTCGCAATAACACTACTGGTAAAGCCCTGTTAAAATAGTTACATGCGCACAGTACTATAATATTCCAACACCTGATAGGATAACCAATACATATACTGTGTGACTAGTAAGTAGATAAAAATATAGATTTGAGCTGGGCACTGCTGGCTCACACCTGTAATCCTAGCAGTTCAGGAGGCTGAGATCTGCAGATTGAGGTTCAAAGCCAGCCCAGGCAGGAAAGTCCATGAGACTCTAATCTCCAATAAACCATCAGAAAAACTGGAAGTGGTACTGTGGCTCAAGTGGTAAATTGCTAGCCTTGAGCTGAAGAGCTGAGGGACAGCACCCAGCCCTGAGTTCAAGCCCCACAACTGACAAAAAAATAAAATAAAAAGAATATAGATTTGGATAAATCATCTTGAGCAGATGGCTCAAATTTAATTATGCTATTCACACCAGTGTATAAGTTAAAACCTATGAATTGTTTTTTCTGAAAATTTCCATTCAATATTTTCAGACTTCAGGTGCTTGGAAAGTAAAAGTATAGATAAAGAGGGGAAGGACTACTGTATAAGCAAAAGATACATATAAACAATTCCCAAATAGTTAACAAGCACACACTATTAGTAGTAATAAAAAGCATGCTAACTTTAAAATGTAAGTTTTGGGTTTGGAGGTTTTTTGGGGGGGAGGGGAGCAGTCGGTAATAGGGCTTGAACTCTGGGCTTGGGCACTGTCCCTGTGCTCTTCAGCTCAAGGCAAGCACTCTACCACTTAAGCCACAGTGCCACTTCTAGTTTTCTGGTTGTTAATTGGAGATAAGGGTCTCTTGGACTTTCCTGCCAGGGCTGGCTTTGAATGGTGATCCTCAGATCTCAGCCATCTCAGTAGCTAAGATTACAGGCATGAGCCACTAGTGCCCGGCTAAAATATAAGATATTTTAAAGAAGCTTTCACATTAACAAAGATTCTAAATAATACCGCAGAAAATGAACCAAAGAATTTCATGTATTCATATACTGCTATTACAAATATATTTCATAGATTGCTAAGAAAAATATAACTCTTAGGTACTATAATGCAGAGATTAACATTCAGATACCAATTCCTTATATACTAAATTTGTTTTCACTCTTAAGAGAAATGCATGGTATTGAAAATTCAAAAAGATTCATAGTTAAGGCATAGAATATCTGACAACTTACTGTTTCAAAGCTGCCTTTATGCATCAGGTCAATAGGTGGCCGGAATAGATCTGCAAGGGTGGTTAATTTTTTATCTATTGCTCCTCCGTTTCTTAATTCCTGCTCTTGCCTAACTGCAACAGAGAAAAATTTTAAAGTTTCAATTAGCTATAAATCTTGAATTACATAATAAAAGCAATCTTGTATTAACAAAATAATTACTAATAAAGATGCCTGACTTCAGATGCAAAGAATTAATGCTAACTCTGAGAAAAGAAAAAAAAAAATAAAAGAGAAGTAAGAAGGAAGTCCTAAGACTTTGTAATGTTTTTGACCCACAGGATAAAAGAAAATTTAAAGTAGTCACTCTGTAAAGAGGTTGAGAGGATAATGAAGGTTGAATACTGTCCAAATAAGTTATTTAGAACTATGAAATAAATAAGGAGGCCCTGGGAAGGTGGCTCAGTGATAGAGCGCTTGCCTTGCATACCTGAGGCCCTGGGTTCGATTCCTCAGCACCACATAAGCAAAAAGAAAAAAGCC